GTCCATAAGATGTCTGAGAGTCAAGTTTCCCTTGGATTTTTGTTTGTTTATTCTTGCCCTGGGCATTTCCAATGATAGTTTCTCTTGTAGTCTTTGGCAGGGTGATCCTGGCACCCTTTCTTCCCTCCAGGACTCACACAGCCCACACATAGCTTAGCTTTCATTCGCATATACATAGGTTTAGCTGCCATTTGACCAGCAATTGGAGTCACTAGTTGAAGAGAAGGCAGCTATATTCATTGCCATCTCAGTGTTGTAGGTCTCAACTACCTTACCGAGCCCTTGGAAAACATAACTTCCTCTTGTATCTTCCATGTCTAATTCTGTGACCTACACACATCATTATTATAATGAAGATGAAAAAGAAAGAGAAAGAAGAGGAAGAAAAGGATAATGAAGAGAATAAGAGAATGAAGAGAAATAAAAAGCAAGATTCAAGTACCAAAAATCTTTAAATACTTCTCTTTTGGTTCTTAGTACCTAAGAATTTCCTTAAATCAGCGTCTATGTCTAATATGAACTTCTCACCTTCCTAATTTAATGAGGGTGTACACCCATGGGACCTGTATTTCTGGATCTGTTAGCATATGCATTATTGCCTAATCTTGTCTCGGTGCTCATGGTTGCACAAAGAAAAAAGATTAGATGCTGGATATCTGAGGCTAAAGGGCACATATAGGAAAATCATCGGGGTAACAGGTTTGTTAATAATAAGCAGATCCCTCCAAACCCTGATTTGAGAAAAGAGACATCTGCTTTATTTCAGAACTACTTGGCCTTTGCTCTAAGATGGCTTTGGCACTACATCTCTCAAAGGAAAAAAAAAACCTATCACACAGTGAACCCAGTGTGTGATAGGATGAATCACCTAGCAGCTTTTATTCCTTTCTTAGCCATATGGTCGGGTGAAAGTAAAACAGGCACAACCTGCTCTCTGTGCCCAATGGTCAAACTTCAATCTTTGGGTGTGTGTATGAATATGTGGGATCGCATAAGGATTTGGGCTTATCTGAATGTAAATACTGATTTGATTCAAGTTCCTCTCCTTAATAGTACCTTGATGAGATTATATTACCTGAGAGTTCATAAGGATAACCAAAAATAAGAGTGTATCTTCTTTGGGAAAAGTTTATAACAATTAACATGAACATACACATATGTGGCAATTTACAAATAATACACATATATAACTTCACTGTGGTTTACGTACCAATCAACCAACCTTCCTCACTGGGGCATCTATGAAACAATCAGCCAAGAGTGGCTGGAAGCACCTTGTCCTTCTTTCCTCCTTCTGGATACATCAACTCCTGTATCTATACTTGTCTGCTTCTTAGTGTCAAGGTTGAAAGCTTCACTGTCAAGAATTCTCAACTTACCATGGCTTGACATCTAGTTCTTATACTATTGGATTTATGTCTCAACTGCATAGAGCTGTGATCCTGTTGTTCTCGTTTTTCTTTTCCTAATAGGTGTTGCACAAACACAAGGTACAATAAACCTGTGGGAAGGGTGACTCCTGTGTGCCTTGACTTTTATATTGGTGAGAGGAGTTTGGACTGGGAAAAAGGACAGAAAGTTCCAAGAGAAAGGGAGTAGCAACATTTTGGAGCCAAAGGTACAAAAACCATATAATGGGTAGAGCACATGTGCAAGTGTGCATGCACATACACACTCATACACAATATAACGTCTTACTAGTGTCATTGTGCCTCTCTGCTGACATAATTTAAAAGTTGCCTCCATATCTAATCTAGCTAGCACAAATCACAAGAACCTTAAGAAATACTTCCTCTAGTGACAATTGTTAAACTTTTGCTAAAGTAAAATCTGAGATATTTATAAATAAGATGGGTCTCACACTGATGACTATAAGTTGTCCTCTTGAGTGATGTGGTATGATAATGACTTCTCAAATTCTTTCTGCTAAATCTTTGATTATGAAATAACTTAGGACTAGAAATTCTTACAGTAGGGCAGCGTTAAAAATGTTATTACAAGTATATCACAGCTTAAGTCACTGGCATCTAGTAGTCATCTGATTCATTCTTATCTGTTGGTCAATTATATACGTCTTTCTTTTATAAGATGCTGTCTTCAGCAGAAATAAAAAACAGATTATTTTAAAGCTGCCCATTGACATGTCATCCCCTACAACAAACCCTGAGAAGTGGAATAAAGGGTAGAATTTTAATTCAGAATCAGGGGCAAGGTTCTCACTGCTCTACTAACTCTGCCCCTGGCTGCTTGTGCATTGGCTTAACAGGAAAGATTAAAAGACATGAACACAGATGACTAAAAGGGTGTGGTCAGTAATTCAAGAATTTACAAACATTTGAAAGCTACAAAAATGGAAAGGAGTTTTGAGCACAGATAATTGTAGACTCTTAAAGTTAGCAAGAGCCTTAGAGGTCATTGTCATTAGCTTTTAAAATTCTTAAAGCAACATTTAAGTCTTTATTTATAGAAAGAAATATTCACAGTAACATTTTAAGAATATTTTCTTTCCCGTGTTTTCACGGCATCATGAACAAGTTCACTTTTCCATTTAAATTTTCCATATATTTACAGGTCTTTAAGAGTGATTACTCATATTTAAGCAGTAAAATAATCATATAGTCTCATAGCTGAATTATAAGGAAACTGGGTAGAAATTATGCACAGTGCTTATAAGAACGTAAATTGTGTTGAACTTTTGTTTCCATTGATGGGAATCTGTTTGTGAATTAACTATGTTTTCTTCTGGCAAATTTTTTTTATCTATATTTTCTTATCTCTCTTGCTAATGTCAACCTATTCATCACTGCTACTTAGGATGTCAGCCATGTGTTTATCTGTGGTTAAAAGAACCAGTGTATGACTTGACAAGGACTTCTTCACCCATGGAAAGGCTATCTCCTGCCTTGTGACTATAATCTGAAATATCTGACCAAGCCATCCTTTAATGAATGTTTCTGGTAAAGTTGATCTGTTTGCTGCTTTTGTGTTCCATGATTCAGCAGATACTATGACTTAGCTGCAGCTGGTTTCAATATGGCCAATCCACTTGAATATACCATCTGGCATGCTCAAAACACTTGCAGTTCAGAAAAAGTGACTGATAGGGAAAAGTAAAAACCATTGGATTAGCAATCAATGCCTGGTCTAAAGTAGGCATTCAATAATAATAATTTTTTTTTTTTTTTAAATAGATGAATGGATTCTAACCCCAGCTCTGTTACTATGTATCTAGGAGAACTTGGGCAAATTGTGTCATCGCTTCAGATCCATTTCTTCATCTGTTAAAACTCTAGTCCACTGACGTCAAGTTACCAAGAGCGGACTTTCACACTAAAGAATTATCACCCTTGCTGGGCAGCTGAGTCACCGAGGGGAGTTTCTACAACTATTGATGCTCAGATTCCAAACCAAGGGATGAGGTTTCAATCAGTCTGGAGATAGGGCCCAGGCATTTGAATTCTGAAAACTCCCATGGTGATTCTAATGTTCAACTAGGGCTGAGGACAGCTTCCCAGAAAAATCTTTCTAGCTCCTTTTTCCTATGGGAGAAAAACGAACTCATCTGCTTAAATGGCCAAAGTCTAAAGAGACTTGCTCCATGTTTCGCTATTGGGCAGCACTACAGGGTTTAAGATTTGACCAGACCTCCTCTGGACCTGCGGTGTGTTCTGGTCAGTCTTGTGCAACGCTATCTAGGGGTAGACAGCTCCTACAGGCGAGTGTGTGATTTGGTTGGTTACATTCAATTTAAGGAGAATATAAGAAGCTCAATTCTGATTTGATAAAGCTGACATTTAGATCCCTTTCTCAAGTCTATGTGAATTTTTTTGATTTATTTCCAACTCAGAGGAGGAAAAAGGTATGATAAACTACACTGACAAACTTCACCAAATCTAGTCCTACTCCAGTGTCATTAAGATTAAATAAGGCAAGTTTTTGAATATGCTTTGTAAATAGTTATGAGGTATCCAGACATTTCTTCTTACCTAAGGTTTCCCACCAGATTTAAAATTCTGAACACACTGAGGAGATATAGTACAGAAAGCATCACTTTGTGTTGACCTGATGCAATGCAATACCAATGATTTCCTGTTATAGAGTATTAAATAAAGCAGCATACTATAGTGGAAACAGCATTGAAGTGGGAATTCAGAGGCCTGGATTCAAGATTTAGCCATGTAAAGCCTTGGGCAAGTCTCCCTGGGCTTAAATTTTTTCCTCTCAAACAAGTGAGTCAATTTCAGACCTTTAAAGTTTCGTCTAGCTCTAACATTCTAGGGAATGCTGATGGAATTGCTCATGAAACTGGCAGTGACTGATGATTGATATGATGGGACACGTCCAAATCTCCCATATTCCCTGAAACGTTTTGGCTTCTTATCTACAGAGTGAGACAAGCTGTTAAAGAAGAAATTTTTCTTCTGATACTTGTTTTAAGGAGAACATTCCCAGCTGGGGAGGGTAAGGTTCAGTTTTATCCTCAGGAAAAAATGAGATCAAGAGTTACATCCAATGTTTTTTCTCTTGTGCCTTCAAATTTCTGAGCCTATCTTCACCAAGAAGACTTCCTATATACTAACCAAGGAAGTGTTGAGCTTTTTCAATCTCAGTAAATTTGAAACAGCTGTTTTGCAAAGAATGCTTCTTCCCTATCCACTGTTTACCTCGACTTGTAACCAACCACAATATTCTTCCAAATTCTGGAATCTAGAAAAATGTCAGGTTTCTAGAGTCACCAAAATAATGGCACCAAAGACCAATACTAAGTACTGTAATATTAATGTTGCTCAGTTAGTATTATACTACTTTGTGTTAAGATTGTTTGATTCTGAATTATACGCAAGTAGTAACTGGCCCTAGTCAGCAAAACGACCTCACCAATTTTTTATTAGAACATGCATCCATAAGTCTGTTAAGACGGTGGAAGCAGAAGGAACTCTAATAGAAAGAAAGGGACCTAGTCTAACTCATCTTTTATCCCATGCACCTGGCGCAGATAGTAAATGCTAATATATGCTTTATTGAAAAAATTCAATAAACAGATGAGCAATGGCATATAGCAAGTAATCAGGCAAATATCAATATTATAAGAATTTGTTTTTTTAAAACAAATGCTTGTCTATTAAAGCTAAAATACTGTTACTTTCCCAGAATATAGAATCAGATTTAAGCAAAACATGTTTAATATAACACAGCACAACGTTTGATATGGCAAAATTCACACAGAGGATTAGTTAATAGAAGATCACATTCTTTTGTGTGTCCTAAGGGAATAAAGGAGGTATAGAACTGAAGTGGCTTAAATATTCTCTTTAGAGCATTTACCAATACAAGGTAATACACAAATTTGATGCAATAAACTATATCTTGTCCTGAAAATAAAATTTAATTATTGAATCATGTCGCCGAATTACATTTATTGTTACCATTGAGCTATAGACAGATATTCCATGTACCTATAGATATTCCTAATTCACAAGATTTGAAATACAGAAAATTTAAAAATCAGAAATAAAAGTAATCTGACTAAAGTACATATATTTTCAATATCCTTTGTTGATACTTTAAAGTCTCAAACTTTATAAAAAGTTAAATACTGATTATTTAAAATATTCCTCCCATTATGGTTTTGTTTCTCATGAATACAAATCGGGCTCAGAAACGTCAACCATTTTTTAGTGAAAGGATTCTCTTAAAATATCAGATGTTGACAGAAGAATTAACCAGTTTAGTAATTTTTTTGTAGTACCAGCAATAGTGATGTCAATCTTATCCTGGTTTCTTCCCCTAACTGGAATTTGGAATAAAAACAATTTTATGCAATTTATTCACAGCCAAATGAAGTAAATAAATTCTGGTGAATGCAGATAGTCTCTCCAACCATGGCCTTCTGGCATGATGGTATATAAATAACTTTCATTAAACTAATACATTTTAATATTTACTAGACTGAATACTGTCTCTTATGATAAATTGAGACCAATGCTAGGTAAAAGTCTAGTAGCACCCAAATCAGTATTACCCTGTTAGTGTAATGTGTGTTCTTAATGAACTGTTATTTTCTACATCAATTATTGGCAATAATGGACCAAGGAAAGAAAAAAAAAATGAAGATATTTACATGCAAAGATATTAAAAATATATCACTACCTTTCATCCTAGTACTACAAAGAAGCCACTCACAAAATACGCTAGGCCTCATGGTAGTATCTTTATATGGTGTTATTAATGTGCAGTTGGTAGGAAACTGCTGTCATCCCTTAGTGGTAGCAGATATATTTTCTTTCTGAAATAATATAAAAGAGAACATACCTTTTAACTGATTTTATTTCAGGGTACCTTATCATTATGGTTTTGACCTTCTGACGGTATGCATGATTGGGATTCCCTCCCTGGAAGCCCTAGACTCACAGACATTAGACCCTATTTTAGGGGAAGGAATCCCTGAAGATCACAGTTTTTCTCCCTCAAGTCAAATGCGAAGGGTGACAAGGCTGTCCCAAACAACTGAATTAAACGATGTAGTTATCCACGCTTTGGGTTTAGCGCAGAGGATTTAAGGCACGTATTTTCTGAGCACAACTGAAGACACTGCTACCTTTAAAAAGATCATGACTATTAACAGAAATACAAAATTGGATGCTATTAAATTATCACATTAATGTTATACAATATAGTGCTTAATACAGAGACAGTGAAGGTCAAGTACTTCTTTTCCATACAGAGGGAATCAGAACTATGTATTATAGATCATGTTACCTAAAAACCTATACAATAGCCTTTACTGTTAAACACCCAGCTCACTATTAAAAGCTCACTATTTTGGACTAAATGGAAATAATATCTATACTGCTATAATAAAATCTCTACTTTGAATAAGAAGAAAGGGAGTCATTTAGGTAAAAATTAAGTATTTCTAAATAAATGTGGAGTAACAAATTTTATATATACATACTATAACTGATAAAGTTTTGCCTACAAAAGGTCTTATTATTTAGAATAATTTTTATATAAAATGCTTTAAAAGATCAAACTTTATTTGTAGTAATTTTTTGTTTAGTATTTTTTCTTTTTTACAGAATGAAAAGGTAAACATTAACCAAGGCTATACCACAAATTCCAGGTTAATGTGTTATCACTTTCTCCCTTTGGAAAGAGCAAGGTTGGCTATAAGAAAATCCTGTTATTTGCTGGCCTTTCTTCATGGAGGGATGCAAACATCTCCCAATAGCAGAAACTAAAAAAAAAAATTAGTGATAAAGGCTTTCGGATTGTAGTCAGTGGGCCACTTAATTTTAAAACAATTCACTATTGCTTTAAAGAACTTTTCTGGCTCAGGGTTATACTTGGTGACATCTCTTCCCTTGCCCTTTTGTTGCTTTAAAAGATTTCTTTCATTTCACACTCCAGCAATGAGCCTTTTCCTTCTCTTCTTTTGTTTAAAATTGCTATTTACAATGTTTGGTGGAATTGGTCTGCAGTATTACACTGCACTAATGTAAAATGCCTTTAATTTTTATTTACAACAATACAAAAGTTTCTCAAATTTGAGGTACACATTACAATGAAAATTTTTACTTTTAAATTTGGTAACTTAAAAGTTCTAAATATCAAGAACTCAAGAATAAGAGACTCGTCTGACACACATTTAGCAATAAAATATGAAGAGTAACTCTCAGACTTATCTCTACTACTCAGATACAGGGAATATTGAGAACCCTGACTAGTTTGTCCTTAGGTCAGCCATTCTCTGGCCCATGAAAGCAAAATATTGTATTAGCATATCTTACTATTTCCTAAAATCCTAAATCTAGTTCACAACTCAGTTTAGTGACACTGAGAACTGGATTCTAGGAATAAAGATTATTAAGAATGTTCAATGAACCCATTTCAGTTTCAAATATTAGCACTGAATAATTTCCTTCTAAACACATTACTGCTTTGGTTAAGTAGTTTTATCCACACAAGCTTTGGTCACTAAAACTGCCCAATGGAGCAATATAAAAACTTATTTCATTATGAAAATTGGTGCAGATTCTATAAATCTAAAAAAATACAGTTAAAGTTTATTAACTGTAGTTTAAACATAAACATGCAAATTAAAGACATAAAGACTATCATTTTAAATACATAGTTGGCTATATGATTCAGGAGTTGATTATCTGGTTTTTAGAATATCAAGTCCCTTCTATCTCACCTTCAGGTTAATTTCTACAATCACCAGTTATGAAAAAGGGAAGGTAGGGTAAAAAAAAACAGGGAAAATCTTAGAAATTATTAGCAGCTCTTGTAAAATGTTAGGTTAAGGATTAAAAGAAAGATAAAACTAACAGCTATAATGTAGATTTCAGTAAAAGTTACCAGAGACAGTTGGACACAGAGCTTAGATTTTCAAATATACATATAAAGAACCATAACAAACATTACGTGGAAAGATATTTTGTTGTGTACTATGGAATACATCTACATTATATAGCAAAGGCTAAAAAACTGTTTCTGGTTAGACGTATTTATATCTGTAAAAGCTCAGTTTATCTTCTTTCTGGGAAGCCAGAAATATGGTATGTAGGTTAAATACCACATTTACATACCAACCAAATTATCTGACAAAGACTAACTCTTAGACTACCCAAGCTGTTATTCAGGTTAAGCTGGTAATGAATTAGGAAGTAAACTGAGGCATTTAAGCCAGAAAAATTTGGTCCTATTGAGTATTAATACATTATTTTCTATGAAAATATTTTATGTATCTAAACTAAGTCACTTAGTACAAAATATTTTGGGCTTGCCACTGAGGCACTGCTTAAGTCATCTTTATTGTTCATAATTTTGTAGTATGTAGCTTGCTGCGGCTCAAATGGAGAAGTAAACAAAGGTTTTTTATTACTTCCATTGTGCAATATAATCACCTATGCATTACTTTGCTAGGCAGTAGAAATATACTAGATTACTTCTAGAGATATAGAAAATTTCATAATCAAAAGGAAAAAAGATTCTAACTACATTATAACAAGGGGAAGGTTTTCACTCATTAGCAGCGTTTCACAACTGCAGTCATGAAACTCTCATGGTGTTTCATGAATTAACATATAACAGACAAACAAACTCTAAACTATCCTACAGTATATTTTCTTCTAAAATAAAAAATAATATGTGACAAAAATCTAATACAGGGATATATCATTATTGTAAAACAATATGCTTTTAAGAAATGGTGTGCCTAATCAGGATTGCCAGTAAGTCACAAGGGAGATCATCTCATGTTCCAATGCATTTCTGACCTGTGTATTACTGTATAGCTAACATTTACCAATGAACCACCATGTTATTATAGGCTAATGATCTAGTGATTGTATGTGTTTTGTATTTTATTTTATAATATCAACTCATAATTGAAATATCAATTTTTATTGCATATTAAACTGATTAATAAAATTTGGTCACTCCTAAAAGCAATTAATCTGTGAAACTTTTTCTGCATATACTTTAAAGATATATTTAATAAATTTTTGTTATCAATATATTATTTTCAAAAAATATACCATGGTTAAACTGGTTTTGGTGCTCTATTGTGTACAAATACGATTGCTGCCCTCAATTTTATCTGGCTTGTTGTAATGTTTTTCTAGTGTTTCTTTAAAATGTAAAGAAAGTTACAATTCAGTACACACAGGCAATGGAGTCATACCTAATGGTTAAAATTTTTTAAATCATTTTCCCACTCTTTTAATTCAAGATACAAAGAAGCTTTACTGGCTTACATTTCTTTTCTACCAAAAGAAATGTGACTGGTTTTTCAATCAAAAATGATTATTCTGTGTTATGAACAGACTGGTTAAGACTGGCCTCCCATTAAGTGTAAAGTGATCTGTAGGGGATTACTTAATGTTCAAACAAAAAATGAAGTTAAGCTGGCCATAAGCTCAGATGTTATATATTCAAGTATTTTACATAGTTCTGTTAAAGCATATTTTGAAGTGTTCTGCATAGTATGTCAGGTTATAGGCTGCTCTGGCATTATTTCTTGAATAAACCTCTAAATCATTGCTAGGACTTAAGGCATTATAACAGTCACTGCTGGACTAACTAAGGGTAACAATAATCACTTGGAATAAAGGGGCAGAACTAAAGAGCTTTAAAATCCCACATAAAGTTATATCCCTTACTTTACCAGTTAGTAGGTCAGAAAGGTTTAGGTCCTACATAACCATCTGTGAGCTTATCTGAACAGCTCTGCAATATAGACGTACGGGCAATACGTGAAGGGAAGGCTAATCCTATTATGGTATAGTGTTCAACCTAAACCCACGGACAACTCTGATAACAATTACAGCTTTGATCCTTTCTTTCTTCATCTCAACTGTCACAGGTTACACCACTCATGGTTTATTATAGCACTGTTCTTCAGAATGTTCTAGTCTGCTGTGTGAGTCACGTGAACCTTGAGTGAAAACTGCAAACAATCAGCCAAATTTGAAACTGCCATTCAGAATGAATCATATTCAAAGAATCCAAACATGGAACTGGACTCATTCCTACTGAATAGGTAGGTGAAACATAAAATCTTTTCCATCACCTCTGACTCTTTCGTGGACAAGATGAAGATAAGGTTTCTAGCGAACTTCAAAGTTTATTTTCTTTTCTAACCACCTTTGCTTAGTCTTTTAGTACTGTATACCACCTTGCATTCCTTCAACCAAGAAGGACTTTTTGCATTCTGCGTGCAGCAACAATGGCTTCATCTTCCGAGTCAGATTCACTCTGGGATGTAGAGCTGTGAGAGGAACTGCAAGGGGAAGAGCACTCTGGCGAACATAAGTAGTGCATCAGTGGGAGGCGGTACTTCCCACAGAAGTCCACAAATTTTATTTGTCTGACACAACAGTCAAAGTAGACTCCTGCAGAGAAAAAGGAATAAGTGCAAAGTAATCATTACAAAGCAAAGAGACACCGTTTCTTTTTCAACCATTTCACCAGCATTCTGAAGAAATGTCATATAGCCTTTTCTTTTGTGAATCTTAAGCAGAGCTAGTAAATACTTCTATCCCTGTTCATAAAAATATTAGAAGGTTTTAGGGATGGCAATTTGGCTGCAAAGAGAAAGCCAGATTTATCTTAAAGGGAGCTGACATTAGAAGGACACTGTCTACTTAGCTTGTTTTCTCTGGGTGACTTTGTGGACAGTGGCTGATGAGAGATTAAAGGATACCTAAAGCGCCCTTCCTCCATTTAAGCCATTCCTTGGTACTACTCTACAGTCAAGAAACTTAAAAAAGCCCACAAGTCTTCTTTAATTATGATCTGAAAGAATTACTTAAACACAAAATTTGCAGAAAGAAGATGAGTTTTGGTATCCCTGTTCTTATGTATTGGGAAGCAAAATGAAAAGAGTCTGAGGGCAAATATATCAATGGTTAGTTTTATATATTATCTCAAATTTTAAATTGATAACTTTTAATGTTTTTGTTCCTAAAATAAATAACACATCCATATAATGAAGAATTAAGAAGCCACTTCAGAGAGAGAAAAGAGAATTCTTGTAGCAGTCCATTTCTAGAAAAGGACAGATTTAAGGGAGAGATTAGATATAAACTATTAAGCTTGATGGCCTGGTGTGAATTTTGTCTCTTGCCATTGTTAAAACTAACAAAAGAGAGGCTGAAGCACTTCTAATTTGACACAGCATAGCAAACCCTACTTCTAAAAGTGAGCGGCCAGAAATGGCCCAGAGTATTGTCTTCTTTAAACCAATAATGCCTTTTTTTCTCTTCTAATATTCTTTCCAGGAACGTAATCATTTTCTCCCTTCCTAACCTTATAACAGTTATAAGACATGATAGGACTTCCAGGGAAAATCTCATATGGCTCTGATCATCATTATATAGCATTTCCTCAGCACCTACATTTATCCCACAACAGTAAAAACCTTTCTGTACACCCATCAAATTAGATTTTTCAAATTAGATTTTATGAGGGAGGCAAAAATAAAATGACCTGCTATCAGTCACCAACTTCCACCCACACCCCTGGCACTCCAGGACCTTCCTAACCTGGCCTCAATGTATATTTTATTCTTTTCTCTCATTACTCCCCTAACTGTACATTTAAGCCAAATTATTACTCATCCAACATTCTGCCCATACTGTTTTGTCTCTAATTTTACTTGCTCCATCTGAAAAGTTTCTTATTTTCAATCTTACCCTATGAAATCCAATTCGTACTTCAAGAATTGTCTCATCTTTTCCAGATCTAATTATGTACTCTTTCTCTCCTTTGATTCCTAATAGTACACTAAATTCCTACCTCATTCTGCCTTACATTGTAACATTTGTTTAATTCTCTTCAAATGCTCTAAAATCAAGAAATTTTGAACCATGGATTTAAAAGAAAATAAAATTCCAGGGTACATTCTGAAATCTGCATACATTTGGCACACAGTCAGCCCATTCCTAAAAGTCTGGAATCATACTTTATAATGGTAGCTAATACTCAGAACGGTGACTCTAAGAACATGTCCCTCAAATAAATAGGAAAAGTAACCAAACATTTTAGAGCTTCTTTTCAAGCAATGAGGACTGTTTATGTTTCCTTTGTGTTTCCTCTCATTTTACCATCTTATACAGTTCCAAGACAAGATGAGACTTTCTGGGTATTTTCCTTATGTATAAATCATGAAATACTAAGAAAAGAATAGAAAGAAGAGAAGGAAAAAAAAAGAAATCCAGAGGGGGTGAAATGTCTTACATTCTGGTAAAAAGGTGAGGCAAACAGAGACTAATTGCCTTTCTCTGCAAGAAGGCAGCTAATGAAAACAACACTTGGATCATCAATTTTAAAAAGAGCTAAATGAATGGGAAACAAGGACAATGAAATAACTTACCTCCACACTTTGGATTTGGGCAATTACTGGCTAAACTCAAGTATCTAAGAAGATTCTCAGGAAGATCACATGGAGTGTAAGAAATATTTCGAATTTTAATGGTCCGTGCAGCTAATTCCAGAAGAGTTGGAGGGTCATAGGTTAAATCTCTAACAAAACGAACAACCAATGGATTTCCTCGCAAACTCAATTCTTCCAAATGAACAAGGTTGAGGATTTCCCGAGGCAAGTAGGTCAGCAAGTTATTGTGAAGACTGAGGGAACGAAGCGAATGCAACCTAGAATGAATGCAGTCAAAACCCAATGACAATCAGCAAGATTACTACCAAGGAAGTTAAGTGAAGAACTTGGTTTCCCCATAACAATAAGCAATTAAGATTAAGGTCAATGGAAGTAAAATAAAAAGGTGCTGAAACTAGAGTGCCGATTTGTAAATGTCATGAGGGACTTTTGCCCATGGAATCTTAGAGAGTTTAGAAAACTTAGGAGTATTCTGACGTGCTAGATGAAAGATAAATGCTAGATTTAAAGATTTTTTGGGGGGCAGTTATCATTCAGATACCCAAAAAAGGAAAGATTTTAAATGTAACAGGAATGAAGATCCTTCACATTATCTCATTAGGATAGGAATGTTTCATATCAAATATAAAATCAATAAAATCCCATAAAACCTAAGTAATCTATGACAAATGAATACTCTATTTTTGGTTACAGGAAACAAATAAACAAATATTTTGAGGAATAAGCCAGAGCATTTAAAAGTAACATTAAAAATAAGTGATCCAATTTACTTCAAACCTAAGAAATGTAATTCTCATGTATCATTTACTTTGAGAATATAATTCTTTGTTGCATATAAAACATGTGGGTGAATGTAGAACAGTAATTCCTAAGCATGTATCTCTGTGTATATATAAACTGCCTAAAACTACTCACTGTGAAAGCTGAGGAGGCACACTTTGGATTTTGTTGTCACACAGTACCAAGTAATTTAGAGAAGGCAGATTTGCTAATTCTGGTGGGATTTCTTTGATGAAGTTTCCTCCAAGATATAAACATTCTAAACTGCAAAGATAAATGAACAAAAACAAACAAAAAAAGAGTAAGCAAACAAAAACTGGACAAGATACCGCCACTGTCTTTACTATAGTGAACACATTTCATCTATTCATTCAGCAAATGTTTTACATAGTGCTAGTCTCTACAGAAATAATACAATCTTCAGGGAGCTTTTATTATAGGTAAATAAACAAGATACACTTTATTTTTGTTAGCATTTATTTCATTTAATCTCAGCTCTACCACTTACCAGTATAAGAACTTGGGCCAGTTAATTATCTTGTTCTGCCCCCGTTTCCTCTCCTTTAAAGTGGAATAATATTATTAGATATCATGTAAAGTGCCTAGTCAACAAATATAAACCAGACAGCTACCACGTGCCAGGTACTATTCTAGAGAATATAGTGGAAACAAGATCAAGTTCTTGACCTTACATAGCTGACACTCTAGTAAAAGAGACAGACAATAAATCAATGAATTTGTACATATTTTGTCAGATATCTTTGAATGCTACAAAGAAAAAGAGTGGTAATCTGATAGTGATGATATTCTAGATAAGGTGGTCATAAAGTTTCTCGTAGATGACATTTGAAAGGAGATATGAATGAAATGATTGAGTACAAATCTTTGAGGTGGAAAAATGCTTGCTGTACTGTGAAAAAGCAAAACAGTTAGTGTGGGTAGATCAGGGTGACAGAGGCAGGAGAGTGATAGTCAAATAGGTCAGAGAGGTAGCATGAGAAGGCCAGATCAGAGGGCCCTTCAGACCTTAGTAAGTTTAAAAGAATAATAGTTAAAATAGAAATACTCCAATCCATTAATGGTAAAGGAATACAAAGAATATACCAAGCAAATCTCTGTCGTTTCACATCTGGCTACTCTATTAGGCTCCAGTCTGGTCTTTCTGCTTCTACTCTTCCCATCACGTCCCCTTTTCCCCTTGCTTCAGCAGCTATTTTCCACACAATAACCAAGTGCTCCTTTTAGAGTGTAACTCAAGTACATCCTTTAGAAGTTCTTTCAGCAAGGACCCACCATGGCTGTTAATCTTTAAGGCTTTTTTCTCACTCATGAGTAATAAATAACTTGGCTGGGCATAAAATTCTAGGTTGGCAGTTACTTTTCCTTAGCACTAGAAAAGATACTGCCCCATTATCTTATTTCAGCCACTATTACTATTGCTCCTTTGTAATAATCTGTTTCTTTATTATTATGAGCATTTAAGATCTTTCTTCTTTATTTAATCTTATTGTTCTTAAGTTATATATAATAAATTTTAATAAAATATAATAAATTTTGTCATGATGTGACAAGATATCAGTTTAGAGCACTCTCTTTAATTGTGGGAAACTCTCAGCCACTATTATTTCAAACATTGCCTTTTCTATATGCTCTCTATTCTCTTTCTAGAATTCCTAGTAAACAGCAGCTGAACTTCAGAATCAATTCTCCATGTCTCTTAACATTTCTTTCATGCTTTCCATTTCTTATATCTTTTTGTACTACATTCAGGAGAATGCCTCCATTAGACCATTCAGCTTACTGACTCACTCATAAGCTGACTTCAGTCTACCATTCAGCCCACTGAGTTCCTATTTTTTTATTTCTAGGAATTCTATGTGGGGTTTTCGTAATTGTCAATTTTTAAACTTCTCATTTTTGTTTCATTGATGATGTTCCCTCCTTTACCTCTCTGAAGTTAGGAAACATACTTTAAAGGCCTTTATAGATTGCCTTATTAAAAAATTTTCTTAGGTATGATTTCTTCCATTTGTTTAATTTCTTATCCATACTTCATAATCTGACTTCTTTGACGTGTGGCAACTCAAAAAGCCAACTTGAATCTGAAGTTTTGTCATTTAAAAAATATATTAATAATACTTTTTCTATTTCTGGTTGTGTAAATCTTTTAGATTTATAATGCTTAGTAAAAGTAAACAGCTTTAATTCTAATATGCTACTTTTTATCTTTCAAATATTACCTTGTAGTAAAAATCAATTACTTGGATACAAGACTGAATTCTCCTACATGTAAATGTTCAAGCACTGGTGAAAAAACTCCCTCGGCTGAATTTTTTGGTCCTACCAAAAATGATTGTCATTTACTCAGAAATCTCTATTTCTCAATGATAAGAGCTACTAAAATATAACAGAATATCTGGAGCCTCCAAAACAGAAATTACCCTGGAAAAAGAATTATTTTAATGAGAAGACTATCTGGGAAAAATATTAGCAAACCTGGAAGTCCCTTTATAAAGGATTCAATAGTTAAATAACTTGCAATATAGTCTACTGAAGAAAACAAAGTGAAGAAAAAGAAGAGTGAGTCTGAGCATAAATTTAAATATTTGTCCTTTCTATTTGTTTAAGTCAGGAGTCAAGAGAAACTAGTGCCTGGTAGTTACTACTCAATGTCATTTTCTCTCAATGCTTTGGAGAGGGTAGGGAGGTATACAAACAGAAGGGATGCTAAACCTTAGTAGTTACTGTGACTTTGGCAAAGAAAGATCTGATGTTCTAAAATATAACCAAGCCCATGATTTTGAAATTATATAAATTCTCTTTTGCAACTGATGAGTATCATTAATCAGATTACGTAACCAGCATATTGAATGTATATTTTCAGGCTTATTTATCTTTTTGAAACTCAAGTAATTTCCAAAGTTCTAGTGACTTGAAGCCTTTAAATGATTTGTGGAAATTAAATTTCTAAAACAGGCTTTTCTGTAAGGAGAAAGGAAACTATTGTTGAATTTAAAACAAAACTGTAGTATTTAAAAGATTTTGTGTTTGTCAGCATTGCGGCTCTGTTAATCAGGCCTGGAAAAATTCTATTCTTTCAGTGCTTAAAAAATATAGAAAACAGGAAAATCATTCACAAATTTAGAGAAAAATTCTTCCTTTCCTTTGTTTTGTGTTAACAGACCGACATTAAATTTGTTTCTTGAAAAGTACTCC